AACTTGATCAGAATGAAGTGTTGGGAGTCAAATATGATTACGAAATATTGAAATCTATCAAGTATTGATCTAACTTTTAAAAATCATATCGGAAGAAAGAGAGAAGAGATCCTGACTAATTGTTACCTTTATATGTGCTAATCCTGTTGCATGTTGCTAACAATAGTATCCTTTGGCAGTATGTTTCAAGATATGAAGGTGATTTGGTAGCAAAGTGGTACTTTGCTAAGCATAAACTTGTCTGGGAAGTTCTTGAAGGTGGTCTTAAGAGTAAAATAGAAATTCAATGGTCTGATATTGTGTCTGTGAAGGCATGCTGTCCTGATAATGGCCCTGCTACTTTATCAGTTGTGGTATTTATTTTCTTCTTTTATTTCATCGTACCAATTGATTTTTGTCAACTACCAAAAATATGTGATTTCTTTCTTGGTTTACCACACTAAGAATCTCTATGATCTTGTCTGGTTCAGTTGGCTCGGCAGCCGACTTTTTTCAGGGAGACCAACCCACAGCCCAAGAAACACACTCTTTGGCAGGCAACTTCTGACTTTACTCATGGACAGGCTAGCATAAATAGGTAATAGTTAGTATTCCTTATACATTGTTTTCTTTCTTTAGGCTATCTGGTTTCAACTTTCAATGATCTAACCTCTTGCAAAAAAATTGAAGGTGAGTTACTTGAGTCACTTGAGATGTAGAAAAGCTTCTGCCATGTTAAGTACAGGAACAAAATATTTGGCATATATACAATTTTTGACACGTGCATTAATTAATGTCTCAACTTGTGGATACATGACTTTTAATGCCATAATTTCTAAGCAACAGAAGAATTCCCACCTTTGCGAGAGAAAATTTAGCCCCCGTTTGGCACCCATTTTTTTCTCATTCTCATTTTTTTTCTCTTTCTTCATTTCAACCACACATTCTATCAATAAAATAAAATTACACATAAACCTAAAAATTCTCCTTATTTTTTAACCACACGTTCTTCCATCAATCACTATTGAAAAACACATTCTTTCACAAAAATGGGTGTCAAACATCCCCTTAATCAGATAATGCTGAATCTTCTGTCATGTATGCTTGAATCTTTTCCTGCAATTTACTGATGACTGAAGAAGGACGAATAGTTTTTCATTGGAAGTGTTCTTGCTTGGCTTTCCAGCGATAACATGATATATATATCAAGCCAATCATGTGAAGTAAAGCATATGCTCTGAGACATAATTGAACTAAAAAAATCCAAATCCTACAGTCTCCAAGTTCTTTTAGATGTCTTCGTATCATTTGAGGGCTGCAAGAAAAACAATGAGATCTAAATAATTGGCTTTATATTCTAACTTGAGAGATGAATGTTCAATATACCTTTCCATCTCAATGTAGAATATTTTAGTGATAGCTTTAAATAGGAAGAGTTTTACCTATATACTCTAAGATGCAAAACTTTGTTGCTGGGTTTTAACTGAACCGACTGTTTGTTTTGATGCTATTGAATAGGCAACATTTTCTCCTGTGCCCTCCTGGCATGTTAAACAAGCATTATGAAAAACTGATCCAGTGTGACGTGCGCCTTAACAATTTGAGTCAACAGACAGAAACAGTTATGGAGTCACCATATTTCGACTCACAACTTCCTGTTCTCAAAGATCTAGAGCAATCTAAAAACAATGAATTTAATCAACTGGCTGCTGCTAAAGGAACTTCTTCATTGGGCTTCCAAGATGTATCAGCAGATGCTGCACAATCATATTCTACATCAACTGAAAATGTCCCTAAAGAAGCTCCATCCCCCAGCTTAGGTACATCATTTCTCGTCCCTATAATGAAAGTCAATTTCAGTAGAGCTTTTTTTTTTTTTTTTTTTTGCACAAAATTAAACAACATAAATATATAAGCCGTACATATACAGTAAGGAATTGTCTGTTCCTAACTTTTTATTTAAATCTTGTGTTGTCAGTATCCATATTTTGCCTTCAAAGATCAATTTTTGAATTAGTTAGCAATCTGCTTTTGATAGAGAACATTTTCACTTCACTTATATGGCTTTGTTTCACCATATTGTCCATTATAAATATAAAGCTTGTTATTTGACGAGTTTCGGTGTTTTTTGCATGCATTGATTCACAAATTTCTGTTTTGTACTGAACTTTGTTGCATAATTATTATCTACGTTCAGAATGTGCCATGTACATTGTACCACTACCCCGCCACATGTTGATGATGTTACCAATATGTTAGTTGCCTTCATGATTATCAGTTTATAATTTTTTATACTGTGAGCTGTATATGTTTTCCCTTGTTTGATCCTATTACATACGTTTTTAATAACCAAATTGACACCGTGGAATTGTTACCGTTCGGTGTTACATTGTATATGTCATGCCAGTGTGTGCTTAAGAATGCATGGAGATATTCAGAGATAGGAAGACAGTTTGTTTCTACTATTTATAAATTACGACTTATCATCTTTCCTAATATTACTAGTGTTGTATATGCGTGCAATTGAAGGAAATGGAATTGCTGAAAGGTGTGTTCAAGGACAAAAAAATTGGGAACAATTGAAGTCACCAGGTCTCCGCCCGGCTATGTCGATGAATGATCTTGTGAACCACATTGGACATTGTATTTCAGAACAGTTGACTTCTGGAAGTTTACCTTCAGACAAGGCATCAGAATGCCAGGACATGCTGGAAAACATAGCAAAGGTTTTGCTAAGCGACGCTCAATCTACAGCAGGTTTGGACGAGAAATCGCTCATGAAAAAGGTCGATTCTCTCTGCTGCCTCCTGCAGGATCCTGCTACAGCTTCCAGTGCAAAAATTGATGGAGAAAGTCGATATGAAGGCACTGATTGTGGAAAGAATTTCAAGTCTCCGCACAAGAATGCCCATAATGGTATTCTGGCCTTTGAGGAGGATTTCGAGGATGGTTATGGTTGTAAGCAGGTACTTCCCATGCCAAGAAGAGACTCATTTGGAGATTTTCTGATTAATCTTCCACGAATTGCTTCTCTTCCGAAGTTATTGTTTAATATTGCAGAAGATGATGAATGTCAAACTAGTTAGTGTTTCCTTTTGCTTTATGCAACATATATCGGTTAGACAATAGGTGGTGTTTGGTATCGGATGGAACCCTTGGCTGGTATTTTTAATTGAGAATCGCAATTTGGGTATTATATTTATTGATCAGCTCGAAATGATTATATCTAAAGCCTCTTCCATGGTGTTGGATACCGAAATATTATAATGAACAAAATTTTAGTTTTTAGGCGTTTTGTTTTTTTTTTTTCCCCATTGGTATTCTGTCATCTTTACCACGGTCAATATTGTGAACAAGCAGCTGGATTTTGACTTTTTTTTATCGGTAAATGTAGAATTATATAGATCAAAACTCATGTACAAGTACACCGGACATACCCGAACTTACAAAATCCCTACTAAATCATAAGATGTACCAACGACACAATGTATTGACCCAAAGCAAGGGACTAAAAATGGATCAAAACATTAGAATACAATGTAAACATAACTTTGTATACATGTGTTTTGATCCATCGAACAATACTATCGGAGCATGGCCTAAGATCTCTGTTTATTTCTAGCCATCTAAATGTTGTAGACGGTGCTAGCTAGTACGGATTCTTTTGGCTTTACTTTGGCAAGAAGTCCCTCGAGCCTCCTTTTTAATTCACTTTAATGAGCTTGCTAACGTAGACATTGAGCATGTAATACCCATCCACTTTTGGATCTGTCCCCACGATGATTGAACTGATAGGCGAAAAAACAAGGAAAAAACAAGTGTTGGCTGGTTTCCTCCATCTACCCACAAAAGATGTAGTTTCGGTCAATCTCCACGTACTATAATTTATCCTTGGTAAGTAGCTTTGATTGGGCACTCAACCAAAGGATAAAAGAGTGTTTCGGTATGATGAATCCCTTCCACACATCCACTGCCTGGGTTTTTGTAGATCCCTTCGATCGAAAAGAATCATAAGATTGTGCTATTTTAATGTTGTCCCCACTCTTCCATTTCGCTAATAGCTGGATGGCAGCCTGCTCGCTTCCCTCATTTTGGATGAACAAGTCCTGAATGGTCAGTAGTTTCCTAAGCAATGAAGAGTCATCTCTCTTCGGTGTCCACTCCCAAATTGAAGCCCCTCGTAAGTACACATGATTGACACAACAGACCCAAAGAGTGTCCTTCTTATCATGTATGTTCCAAATAGATTTTGCAAGCAATGCATTATTCCAACTCTTAATGTCTCAAAATCCCAAGCCGCCTTCATTTTTGGGAAGACACATTCGCCCAAGCAACTAGTGGCTTTTTGGAATTCCAAAGAAAGTTCCTACAAAGCTGTAATTCTCAATGTAACCACAGCCAGAATTGGAAATATAGATAACCAAAAACATTCCACTCCTTGCAAGACGGCGGCCCTTCCGACGTACGACAATGAAATATGTGTCCATGTGTTAATGTATGTTGTAATCCTATCCAAAAATGGTGCAAAATGATTAACTTTCAATTTTTCGGCCACAAGTGGTATCCCCAAATATCTAAACGGCATGGTCCCCTAAGGCACGCCCACAACATCCTGAATGACCTCCAAATCTGCTCCCATGAATGCCTGTTGTACATAAAATGGATTTATTCACATTAACTGTTAATCCCGAGCAATTACTGAACTTGGACAAGCAATGCATCAATATGCGCACCGAAATAACATCACCTCTGGAAAATAGCATCAAATCATCTGCGAAAGCCAAATGTGTGATATTCAAGAGCCCACACTTTGGATAATAGTTGCATTCACTGTTGCTCGTGGCTCTCTTCAGCATAGTTATAAAACCTGGCTCGGTCGGGACGGTTGGCCCAGACCCTTGACCGGGCCAGACAGATTAATTTTATCGAAATGCACTTGACTCGATCAAAATCGGGTTTTGACCGAGTTAACTGGTGATTTACCCGGCTCAGTTGATCGGTTTGATTGAGTTTTAAAATCCTTTTACAAAATTTTAGAGTCCAAGGAAATTGAACATTGGACCTCTAAGAAAAATAATGGGTTCCTCACCACTTGACATAGCATGTTTTAGTATTACTTATGTACAAATAACTTATAGATTAAAAATAAATTAGTGAAAAATAAATTAAAAATTTTAATTTTGCCTCTAAAAAAAATTTATACTTTTTATTTTTTTGTAAGTTTTAATGCAATGACCCACCGATTGAACCATCGGATCACCGGTTGAACCACTAACCCATTGACCCACTGCATTGTCTGAGTCTGTGTCCGAGTCAAGTCTGACAACTATGCTCTTCAATGATCTTGACAAATATTCAAGGCAAATCACAAATAAAAATGGCAATAAGGGTTCACTTGTCTTAACCCCCTTTTGCCTTTAATGAAACCAATGAAACCATATACGTTTTCATTAAGAGCAATGGAGCAAGAAGGTGTAGAAATAAATACCATCACCCACTGAATGAATCTCGTTGGAAAACCCAATCCTTCCAAAACTGATTTAAGAAAGCTCCAATCGATGGAATCATATGCCTTTCTTAGATCAATCTTAAGAAGACATCTAGTTGATGTTCTTTTCCTGTTGTATTGCCTTAACAATACTTGTGCAAGGTGGACATTTTCTATCAAACTCCTTCCATTCACAAAAGCGGATTGCGACTGATCAATTATGGAACCAAGAATAGGCGCTAATCTGTTAGACAAGATTTTAGTGATGGCCGTATATACAACATTACAACATGAAATGGGTCTAAAGTCACCAACTGTTGGAAGTGTGGCTGCCTTTAGGGATCAAGGTGATAACATTTTAGTGCGGATTGCAACTTTCTTAATTCTACGCAATCTCTTTAAATGTATTGGTAACCTACTACTAATCTATGACTACTGAACTGCATCTGGAACTAGCCAAATGTTATGGTAAGTTGAGCCTCTTCGAGTGGAAACCCAGGACTGGCAAGAGTGGAAACTTGCTAATGTAGCAGATTAGAGTACAGTGTGTAGACTATGATCCACAGGTTTGGCAATCAACTTCTATCTCGATTGCCCATACACACAAAAGTTAGAGAATGCATTGAGTTCAAAATATTCACAAGCACTACACGTTTAGGCAAGAAACATATGCAAAGGGGAGATTGGATCGAGGAAAATCCTAAATATACAAGAGGAAATCGAGTCAAAGTCCCAATAATGAGCATTTATTTGTAGTAGCACTTCATATAACACGTACATTTCATTCCTTCCATCGTGTCTATCTGCAACAAGATCAGGAAGGAGGTGCCGTATGAGCAGTGGTATCAGGGAACAATGGCTACTGTTATGACAAAGTATTCACACCCAACCGGGAGTCCATAAGGGTTGGAAGTTGTCTCTGAATTCAGAATCAAATGACTGGTTTCTATGTCCGAGGTCTGGGGATCTCTGTTGAATGTTGGCTAAGGTGACTTCATTGTCTGCCGTTCAATATGCACACCTGTCCAACAATGTAGCTTGGACGAGTCGAGAAATGGCCTTGTAATGCCAGCAGAGTTGAGGACAAATGCAACAATCTCTTGGACTTCTAACCGACCAAAAGATATCTTCTCTTTGTTTGCCTGTAACAAAACCGTTCAACTCTCTCTCAAGCTTTGAAACCTCCTCTACCAAAGCTTGATACTTGAACTCCACATTTTTTAATTGATTCGGTTTTCTGCAAATGCACTATGCAATCCCAGAACAAGGTCATCGCTTACCTTAGCAACCAAACCTAGTTCAAGAACAGTTTCACGGGATGAAACATCAGCAGGCTGCAACATGCTAACAGCCATGAAACTTGCTGCAAGTGCGGTACCACCAACTCTCAACAGTGTTTCTATCTTATCTTCGAATCCTATCGAAGGTTTAGCATACTAGAGGGACACTTATCTTGCATTGCATTAGGTTTGTGAGTTTCTCCAGCACCTGATATTTCTGACTTCTTCCCATCAATCTTTAGAGTTGAAAGCACAAAGCCACAAAGTTAGATTCATGCACACAGCAGCTGAAAAGGTAGGCGCTTACAGATACTGGTCAGACTTCTGCTCCAATACCTCCAATATCCTTAATCCACGTTAGTAAATAATTTTTAACTTGTTTTGATCCCATTTTACCGACTAAAATAAATCGAATAGTTGAGGATTTTCCCTACTTGAGCACAATACATACATACATACATACATATTATATGCACGTGTGTACAAGACATTGTTCTGTGAATAGTTTAGAATTCAATTTAAACATTTCACATAATTCTCTTATTAAAATCAATCCTTTTTCCGACAACCAAAATGCACTAGTGTAAGTTTTAGAATTTAATTATGTTTGGACAATCAAAAATGGCAAATGCAACGTTATGCTATTTGATTCATTCCAACGGACAAAGAATTGTTTACTGTACATCATAAATTTATAATCTTCAAGTTTGTTATACAGGAATATGTACATCGTCTCTTATACTTGGCACCATGAAGAAAAATCTTCTGTACCGCAAAATCAATGTGATTATTCACCCTTTCTAGAAATATGGAACAGTGGGGGCATGACAAGCGTAAACATAACGTTCAAGAATGAGCAAGAAGGATCGTGCATCCATGTCAACCAGACCCAATATTAGAATGTATTACATGTATCAATGTTGATCGGCCCCAAGAACTAGGCTTCTCCTATTACTCTCATCACTTGGAGACCAGCATATTAGAAAAATCGGGATCCTTTATAGAACAGTTTCCTATCAAGAGAGTGCATAGCCACGGATCACCAAGGACACCAGAAACTAGGAACTTTGAACATCTTGAAATTCCAATGTGCAGGTGCAAAGTTAAGACATTTTTGTGCATGGCTATATAAGCGAGCAGCAGGGACTTAAAAATCTGTCCTCTCGACTCTACGCCTGGAAAAACTCCTTCTAAGTTTCAGGATAGTTGCGTCGTGCAAAGAAAACCACTTCTTCAGAGGCAAAATCATTGCAAGCTCAAAATATCAACTGGTTACTGCTAGATCACCAGTGCAATCAAGACAATATTATTTAAATTAAGAACATCATTGGTGGCCACACGGAGGATCAGTTGAAGAAGTAAGGAGATTCAAGTACTTTTTCCAGGTTGAAGTCTCCTCTTTTCGGTAGAGGGGGAAAGGTCAATGACGGATATGATGTCTCAAAGCTTTCCAGCAACTGTTAATGAATCAAAGTTAAAGGTGGAAGTAAATCATCTAGATACTCTGGGTGGCTATTTCCATATTCACTGGAAAATGAAGGACTGACACAACTAGAAATCAGTAAAAATATCTTGTGCTAATGAAAGGAGCTAAGAGGATTGCTATGACGCTTACATTTTCGAGTATAGGAATATTGTAAAGATCGACAAATTTTTGTCTTAGTATTTGATTCATCCTGTCAACATCACACGCATGTGTCCAGAAGGAATCGTGCACACCTGCAATACATCAGCTACTCAGAAAAGCGTTCTCATAAAAGTTCTATCTTACAAAACCTTAAATTGCAAGAAAATGTACAGCAGTTTATCGCTAGTTCGACTCTGATTGTTATGAAAATTTGAATAATTTCCTATCACAGGAACTTGTCAATATTTCAAAATGTCAAACAAGACAAATGCTCTCAAGCCAGTCAAATTGCAATCAGAGGTTAGGCAAGGAACCACAGTTCTCTCCCAGAGGAGTCTTAAGAAGACTGATGGGTTTATAGGGATGCCTCACGTCAGTGCAGTATAATACAATCAGTGTCTCCAGTGAGTGCTAAATAGAATTTCTTTGAAGAATATGTTTTAAGGCACGAGTAAGTAGTAACTTAGACATCACCAAAAAGGTTGAGTTTAGCGGGAGGAAAGAAAAACCTGCAAAACGCAATCCTTCATCACGACAAGCAATGGCAGTCATCATCATGTGTGAACCATCGAGCGAGTGCACAAAATTCGGAGGGAATGCTGTTCTCTGTTTTCTGACCTCAACCTGGGGTTAGATGTTATAATAGAACAATTAGTACTTGGAATGCCAAATGCAGTTGCACAAAATGAGAGATTCAGTTTAAGAAATATACAACTTACTGAATCACCCTCACGCTGCAAAGCCAACACCTGAAGAGAAGTTCTTATCTGCATTGCATAAAGTAAATCAGAATCAGAAGATATAAAGTTTCAATAGTTCAGATTCCCATCTGCAAGGAAAGAATTGGTTTAATTTTATCCACTTCAAAATGTTTAATGAACAAAGGAGGTGTCTTTGCAACTCTAATTATATTTGCATCGTGCAAATGACACAATACCTACTGTTAACATGCTATTAACTCTTTCAAATTATACTACTAGCAATGCCACTCCTATAATGAAGGGACAATGACTCCCCACTTTTGAGTGTTGAACTGTAAAAGACTTTCTAACAATAATTTTGGTGGAATTGAATGCTTTAAACACTGCTTATAATCGGCACCTATACTCTGACAATAAATCATTAGCTTTATCATCTTCTCGTTTATTTCATTTAATGTTACAAAAACATTTAATGCGGACTGGCAATAATCAAGTATCCAATCAATGATATTAGTACCAAGATAATTTTCGAAGTATAAATTTTACACAAGATGCAGATTCAATTCGAATGTAAAATACTTACAACATGCCGTTGAGTTTTAAAGTAAGGTTGCACAACAGGAAGGCCCAGTGGAGTTTTCCAACTCACCGGTTGATTTTCTGAAGCAATAATCTGCAAATACATTATCCATCAATCAAGGTTTGTGAAATTTATTGACTATACAAAAATGTCAACCCAATTTTAACAAACCTTAGCACAGTCACCAAGCCAACCCATTATAGCCCGTGCTGCTTGGAATAGCTCTCCAAGAGCGGCCAATGTCACCTGTGAAAAAAATTCCAGGTAATATTCTAAAATATCACATTTCAGTTCTAGAAATAGTAGTAGCTACTAGATTGTCAATGCACAGTTCGTCAGGTTTTAGTATGGTTTCCTGAATCTTTATCAATGAGTCAATATTATGAAGTATAATAGAAGTGCACACATGAGCAGTTGTGCATATGAAATGACGTGCATAACTCAAAGAAAAAGACCATAATGAAAGGTTGATGAAGACTGTCCAAAAAAATTTCTTCTCTCATGAAGGGCCAAATTTTCTGCTTGGAAACATCTCCAATATTTACTGAGGTATAAATTTGAAAATTATGCTAAAAATCCTACCTTTTCAACTCTCACTTAATAATCAATCCAAATCAAATAATACCTTGTTCTGAAAGAGTAATACAAATGTAGGTACATAAATTAAATTACAAAACTATATTTCAATTAATAAAGACAATTTCTTTAAGATAGGGGAATAAAGCCCCGTAATCAAGGTCTGTAGAAGTACTATCTGCAGACAAGACTTTCCAAAAAATCCATTCATGATTCTCTACGTGACTTTATGTATTGAAGACTCCAAAGTACCAAAAGGTTGGGTGAAACTTAGAGCATGTTTCAGAGTGCTTATAAGTTGGGGGGTCCTATAAAATGTGTAAATAAAAAGAGGTAGTAAATTGTGGATCCTACAAAATGTGTTGATAAAAAGTATGTTTGATAAGCTAAAACTAAAATTTAAGCTTTCCCAAATATGCACTTACTTTTGCAGCATAACAAGCTGCACTAAAGAGCATCCTGTCATCAGTGATAAGACCCTTCTCCTCCAATCTTCTTTTGATCTGCTCACGTGCCCCAACATAAGTAACACCATATACTGAAGTCATTACCGTTTGTTTCACGAGTTTCCTGTCCACCTGAAAATTTTCAAAACATCATATTCTCAAATTGCACAAGTTACATACAAAAGGCCCGAATTCTCATTTACCATGAACCAATTACTATCAAAAATAAAAATAAATAGAAAGTTTCACAAACACAAGAAATGTTAAAAATTTGAAACTAACAAGAAAAAAAAACAAAAGCTATAATACAAAAACTAACCTGACCAAGCAAGACTTTGGCTAGCAAAGCATTTGGATGAGTTGCAGGATCCTTACTGCTGTCTTTTTTCATGATATCATGAACCCTGACAACCAAAATCTAATTTTTGACAAAAAGAAATACGCCAAGAGGTAAACGAAGAGAGCAAGAATGCATCGATTACCATGATTACATAAACATTCATGTAAGCACAGAAAAAGAAAGAATCAAAACATCGAGATAGAAAACTATCTAATTTCTGTTTTACAAGATTATCTGAAGTTAATTGGAAGCATAGATAGAAGAAATTGTCATTGGTTCCACTCTCAACCTAAGCCCTTTCTCTTAGTTTTTATGAAGTCATTGGCATTTCGTGCAATCACCAACATAGGAGCATTGTCAAATGCCGAATAACAAACCTTGGTTCTATTTTTGCTTTTCTTGAGGTTCAGAAAGCATGTATATTGAAATATAATTATGATCCATTGGAAAAATCTAGATTTGAAATAATGGAATTCAATTTTCTGGTTTTCTAATTGCAGCTTCATCAAAATTTCAAGCCAAAGAATTGGTGATGCCAGTTGAATGCCTAGTCCTATACATTCTGAAAAAATCAGCATATCGGCTATAATTACAAGAGCTGTCAGAAAAGTTATAGTTCACAGGACAAGGCTCATTTTGTTGTTGTTTTGAGCAAAGTACAGTAATAGGAAAGTCTGCATTATTATAAATTTCATACTTTGCTTCAACAACTTTCCTAAACACTTTCTTATATACAACGGAGGAAAATATAGAAATCATAAGACCACAAATCTATTACATTCTCAACTTTTGACTGCTTTATTAGTGCTGTATTTTTTTAAAAATTTAACTCGTGTTCCATCCAAGAGCACCATCACGGAGGAAGCATTGATCAGAACATTTATGATACCTAATTTTTACTCCAGGTTATTGATACACTCGTAGGATAAATTTCATGTATATTATATGGGTGCAGCCAATGTACAACAGCCAAAACTTTGAAGGTGGCATGAATTGGCTTCTTTTTTTCCAAATTCAATTTTTTTCCTCAAACAAGAAAGTAATTGTTTTCAGAACAAGAAGGGAATTGCTTTCTTATCAATTGTATGATTTTGGATAAGACTCGAAAATGTAACAGTTCAACAAAAAATGACGTGGTGGTAGTTTCACAATAAAGAGTAGTATTAGTTCCTTTTGGCAAAGAAGGAGGTGCTGGAGGTGAATGGGGCATGTAATTTTTTTTTTTATCGGCGAGGACGGTTATCAAGTCCATTAGCTTTTGGTTATCACGCAGTGATCCACTTTCATCTATCTTCCTTGTATTCCAAGTACAACTTTGATACAGTTAGTGACAATAAATATGTTCCATCAGAAGGTCTAGGCAAAATGTCGTTCCTGAAGCTAAAGGAATCAAAGTCTAGGAGTAACAATCAGGTTTTTCACTACGTAAATGTGGAAAAAAAAGAGTTCCATCAGTTCCTGATAGAAAAATCCGACTTTAGAGTTACGGAAACTTAGACGTTCATTAACATACCTCTCTGCAATTTCCGAGTAAACATCAGCAGGTTTTTCTCCAGCAACTAAGTTGACAGCAGCAGCTTCGAACTGAAAAGACATCAGAACCCAGTGAAGGGTTTATGAAATGTATAAAGAAATCTAATCTAACTAGAAAAGGAGAAATGTTGCACTGTCAACAGTACAACAGATCATAAAAGGAAGCAGGGGAGACAGAATCAACTCATCAAGCATCATTTTAGAAAAAATAAAATTCTATAAAAGCCTTTTCCCAACTTTACCCGAATCAAAGCCATGTACTAGTGCAAAGAAAATATATTTAGTTTCCATTGAACCCACACTTGCTGTAGTAAATATTAATTTCTTGTTTACCAGAACATTCGAGAAATAGTGCTACTAACTCAAAAAATATTTCTAGTGCATCAACCAGTTGAAACAGCAATTTCAATGGTATCAGAAAAGTGAATTTTCGAAGTGTAATCCCCAATAATATATGAAAGATGAAACACAGCATTTTGATGCATGATCATCAGGACAAGATAAAGCAATTGTCAACAAACACAACATACACTGTCTCTCCCAAGAGCTGCATAGTGCTGTAAGCCATTGCACGAGCCATCCTAAGATTAAGATCAGAATAATAATCAAATCAATTGAAAACAAATAAAGAGAGTATATTTCATGAAACCTTAACACTGTCCCTCCAAACACAGTTCAACTTCTTTTCAATATCAGGGAAATTTCAAAAGAAAGGAGGGAAACGGGATATGGGGTACATACCTGGTGAATTGGAAGATGGGAGACAACAGTGTGTGGTGATGAGCTTTTTAAGGCTTCTGACAGATTAATACAAGCAGCTAAGCATTGAAAAGGATCCTCAGCATTTAACCACCACTGATTTCCATTGAGAGGTTTATCTGCTGAGTCAATTATGTCCCCTAAATGGTTTTCCACAAATGAGAGACGCCCATCATATGAAAGCTTTTCAATGCCCCCTCCATAAAGATTTGCTAAATGTATTTTCAACCAATGTAACCCAGACTTTCCTAGTGGTCTTCCTTCAGCAAATTCAAGAATTCCTCTACACAGATCAGAACTTAGATGGTTCAAATGCGGATGCATAGGATAGGCGCGGCCTCGAAAATCGAGATTGTGGGGATAGTAAAAACCTTCTTCATCTTTCATCTTCCTAGCAACCTGATTTAAAAAGATTGATTAGAGTTCATAAGGTGACCTTTTGTTGAACTAGAAACTTCAATTACTAATCATCTAGGTTTAAACATAACAATTTAAGGCTAAAGCCCCTTCTAGTATGACCAGACATTCCCTTGATTAACTGAGCATAAACCCTTCAGTATTTATTCACGGGAGAATTCCTTATCGTGCTCTATGCATCAAATAATAGAGGTAGCATCCCTTGCATGGGGCCCAAAAAGGGGAGCATTATATGGATTTTGTTATCGAAAGTGAGATTACAAAACCAATCCAGCATAAATAAAGTGGAATTATTCAGTTAGTGAATTCGGTTTCTTTAGAAGTTCAACTTGATTTAAGTTAAAGAAAATTACAGACTAGAAATTGCGGGACCAAGCTGACTAACTAGTTGATTGCATCCTCTCAGACAACTTATAACTTTAAATTGCTGCTTAGTTGAGCAGGTATCATAACTTGATGCCAATTTCCTTTTGCAGAGCAAAATAGTGATCACATAGACATAGTCAGAAATTGAATAAATCTTACAGAAAGCTTGAGCTCCGTGTCACATCTTTGAGAATGCCTCTCTCGATTAATTTTCTTTGCCTTTCTCAAACTCCATTTCCATGCTTTTACTTCTTTCAAATCATCCGAGTGCAGTTCAGGTATTGGAACCTGCAAAATGAAATGATTTCCATCAAGACAAAGCATATAAGCTATAAGAATTTCAAGAAAATAACATGAGTATAATCAATATTGGTGAGCAATAAAAACGAAACAACAAAAAATTTAGTATGCACTCACATCTTCACGATTTACCAGGCCAGCAATGTTTCCACCCCCAGCCCAAATGCTCTCCACCACACCCAGTATACGTTCATTCACTCTCCATTTAGTGTTACCTAAAGTATCCAGAGCCTGCATATACAATTAATACTGAATATGTTACTTGCATCACACATATATCATTAAAGAAACTATGGGAGCAATCAAGCAATAAGTATCCAGTGATACAAGAAAGGGTGTATCAGGTACCACCTAGAATCAAATGTCAGAAAAAAGTAAAAGTACCTCTAGTTTCATTTAAGTGACAGATATGATAACTATTAATTTTGATGAAAGGAAACACTATATACACTTAGAAAATAATCAAGAAGCTAACATATTTAACCTTCATTAAGACAGTAAGCATAACAAATATGCAACTGAACACACAACTCTACCACCTAATTTGGCATTTTGAGCATGCTTAAACTGAAGCATAAAAATCATTCCAGCTCTAACCTCGTACACTTTTTGCATTTGTTTCCCAGGAACAGTTCTAACAGCATCTTGTTGCTGCCGTGATCCATGTGTACGCATCAGATACGAGGGTAAGAAAAAGTAGCCACCTTTGTCATACCTGCAAGGATGAGTAAATAAGAGAAACATAAGACAAACTTCAACTGGGAGGGGCCTTCAAAATCCTCTGTTAGTTCAATCTTAAATTATTGTGAATAAGAGTCAACATCATACCCTCTCCATTTTTTTGGTGGCACCAACATCGGCACATAAGGAATAATCATATGCTTAACCTGCATAGAGGATAAGATTATAAATTTTAAGGCAACAGTGGAAAACTGATAGCTGAAAATTTACATAGCTTAGATGGTATAAAACTCAAAAAAATTTAAAATGAAAAAGGACAGAGTATTCTTTACGTGAAAAAAAAAAGTAATTACTTTGAGAACCAGTCATAAATAAACAACCAAGAATAGAATCACGAATTTGTACCAGAAGTACAGTACAATATTATATGACAGAATAATTTACACACAGTTCAATTATCAAGATCATCTCACAAAATAGCTATTCAGAATAATATTCCCCCAAAATAAATTTAAAAAATATAAAATAACAACCTCATGTAGTCATGTTTGTCAGCCAGGTAGAAGAATATATCTATTATAGCATACTGAAAATACACAGTTAGCAAACTGGACAGAACAAACATGAAACAACTAAAAGTTGAATTGACTCACAGTTCTATCAAGCCCTTCAAGGACCAAGGGATCACATTCTATGACCCCATACCGCTTCACAAGGTTCTGCCTGCAAGAGACGGAATAATTATTGTTTTACGGTTAAACATTAGTAACATAAACTGCCGAAAAATGCATCATGACCAATCTCAACCAATCCACCTTAATGTGTCACTGCATGAACCATGAGTTAAAAATGAACCATAACATTTTTCAATAGAACTTAGAACTTGCTGGCCATTTTCTGAACACCACATTGGTAATATATATGAATATGTAACTAGATTTTAAGAGTAGGGTTAGATTATTTTGTATGGAAGCATGATAGACCATGATTCTATTGAAAATCCCTAAAGTAGCAAAATTCTCACCCTGGTTCTCTGGTTGCAATTTTGAAGAGGTGCCTAAAAGCCGGGCGAACATCAGGGGGGCTATCGGCAGACTGATTAACTGGAGGTTGCACATAAGCAGTATGTGTTAATAGCTCTATCAGACAACATCCCAACTGCATGACATAAGGTGAGCAAAATGAATTACCATTGTAACAAAGGTACATGTATATTGGGTGACAACTTAGTGACTGTTTGGTTCAATTCTGATTTTTGGTTTTGGATTTTATATAAAAAGTAGACAGTATTAATGAATAAGCAATAAATATACCTATTTATGCTCTTAGCTTCTAAAAATAGTTTTCCAAATTTTAATAAGCCAGTGTTTGATCCTCATTATTTCCAAAATAAATTTTTCACTCTCTTCTTTTCAACGACACATTTTTCAATAAAATAATATTACACATAAACCCAAAATTTTTCCTTATTTTAACCACACATTCTCCATCAATCTACTATTCCAAAATGCATTCTTAGAATAGAAATGGGGGCTCAAACAGGCACTAAATTTCATTCTACCTTAGTATACTCAGATGTGTGATTTGACCAAGATTCTAATTTTACAAATCCAGAATGAGAAATTGGTATCCAAGTCAATTCTATTGTTTCTATAAATCGGTGCCTACAAGTAACAAGAACTCTTGAGTAATCTTCTTATAGGCAAGTTTCTCATTAAAGAACGACTCCCACCAGATTCTATTTTAACAAACAGCAAAGAACTTATCTTGCCTCTGCTATCTATTTTTATAAACGATGGACCAATTTCTTTTTACATCATTATTGTATTACAAATTCTTTTGAAAATCTTTTTGATAGTTCTTCAAGTATTTATTGGGTAATGGGGTATGCTAAGTAAAATTTGTTTAGGGAGACTGCAGATTATTTATATTACGCTCGCAATTGAGTTAAATGCAGCTGATTCTTTATGTTTTTCTGTTTCTTTTTTCCTTCACTACCATGGGTACCATACACTTCTCCTAGAGCACGTTCTACGATCATTCATAAAAGAACTACATCTTGATCCTTCTATGTGCATGCGGATTTGAGTTTGATTGTTATGTTACCTCAAAACTTAAAAACTTATCAGTGTCTTTGAAAAAAGGTGGGGAACAAAAGGCGATTTTAGTTTTTCTTAAAACCAAGAAATAAAAACTGAACCAAACAGCCCTCTAATTATTTGGTACTTGCGGAGAACAAATATTAAAGGCTTCAGACCTTAGCCTGTGTATCTCGACCCCATGATTTGACATCTTCATTTCTCACCAGTTTTTGGACCTCAAGAACTCTGTTTCTTCTAATTAAACTCTTAACGCGTTTTCTTAGAAGCAGAGCCTCCTTACTTGAAATTCCTTGACTTTCATCTACAATATCCCGCCTCTGACATTCCCTAGTTTTCTCCAAGAAGCTATGAATCCTAACCTGAAATACAAATTTCAATAAAAAAGATCTCAGCATTTATTATCACATGATTGCTAGCTAAGAAATTAGAGTTTGATATGGATAACAGAAAAAGAAAGTAAGAATAAAGATAAGGTCAGGGAAGGGATGATACAGTATGGTGAGATTACTAAATTCATCAGAGTAACTGGTGAAAAAATTTCAGATATTCGCTAAATACAAGAACAATTCGTAGGGTTATGTTAGGGACACCAATTACACTAACTAGAGTGAAGTGCAGGTTAGACCACTCAATAAATTAGCTAAGTTACAAAGTCAACAACTTCATTGACCATTGGACGAGGATATAAGTTTAATTTGATTAAAATCATCACAACAGAACACCAAAGAGACAATGCAAAGCCTTCAGAGCATATCTATTATTCCCACCTCATCCAAGCTCATGAAACAAGTCCCATAAGATACTCTAATTCTATCTGAAGTGTTTCCGTCTCAGAACCATCTGAGTACCAGATTTTCTCCATCATTGTCTGAATTCACATTAATGAAATTATTATTAATAGAATGGTGCCAATAACACGAGTAAAATCTTTCAGTTAATGGCTTGAGAAATAATGAATACGATGATTATGCTGACTTCTTTCATTTTTACATACTTCAAAATAAACTGAGCTACTAACATCATCAACGGTAACGATGTGCTAACATCATCTTAATTGCAAAGTCTTAACCCAGAAGTCAGAAGACTCAGAACCAAGCAAACAACAATTTTACTCCAAAAAGGACAGCATAGATTACAAAACACAAGTTTTTATATATTGTTAGTTTAAACAACCATAATGCCAAAAATACCATCGGAAACATTTACATTAGATACTCACTTCATGCTCAACTGCAACCCCAATTTGAATTGCAGCCTCCACAACACGCACGTACCTATCATCCTTTCCCCCCATCATCAAAAGCCCCATTATCTTATGCATCACAATGAGAGCCATTTTATCTGCGGGCAAAGCATCAATAAAAGGCGAAAAAGCTCTCTTATGTTTCTTTGACCTCTGGGACTTTTGTTCCTTCTCAATAGCTACCCTCAACGGCTCAAACCACCCCAAGATCAATTTCTTGAAATAAGGCAAATTCGGCGCCAATTTTTTCTCACACATTTCCCTCTCTAATTCTTTGTACTCCTCCACCATATTCTCCCACGCCTCAGTCTCCACCTTTATCTGTCTCCTCCTTAGTAGATAATATTTGCGCCTCTCCATTTCTTGATATTCTATTTTGACCCCACTCTTATTTCTGCTTCGAATGAGTAGATTTTTCATGAAAAGCGAGGAAACCCACGGTGGGTCTTGGATGAAAACTCTTTTACTCGATTCTTTGGTCAAATTCGAGCTAATCCCATTTCCAAATGGGATTAGCTGCAAATTTGATAAATTTTGGTGGGATTCCACATAGTTATCATCCGCGGAGTCAGATAAAGGGGGTAAAAGAAGATGGGCGGCATTACGAAGGATAGGGAGTTTGAGGGTGTGAGGGAAAGAATAAGAGGAATGGTCGGGATTTTGACAGAATATGGGAAGTTCCAAGGGTGAAATTGAAAGGAAGTTGAGATTTTTGTGGCGTTTCCATGAAGAGGAAGAAGAAGAAAAAGAAGAGGGGAGGTCGAGTTGAGCTCTGGGGCTCGGAGAAAAGGGAGCTGTGGAAGCCAGAGTGATTGATGTTCTTGCTGGCGTGTGGGAGTGTGTGGGTGTAGAGTTGCAGATAAGAGGTTGCGAAGAAGAAATCAAAACCTCTGCTAAGCCCTATTGGTCATTTCAATATTTTTTACACCTCCATTTTCTGTCAATTCTTTTGGGGGGAAATTATACTATTGGTCCCAAATTATAATTTTTATAGCAATTTGATCCCCATCATATTCTTTTCAGCAGCATTGTCTCTGGCCTTTGAATTTTGCAGCCACTTTACGGTTAATTAACAATTGTTTTCATTCAGTATACGTAAAACTGTAACTTTCCTATACGGATGATGGATTTCCATTTATTCGACTATTAAATTTTATTTAAATCGTGATTATGTTTTGTTGGGTATTTATTCTTCCCCCAGTGCTCCAGATTAATGCAAAGAATTACAGAATTTGAAAGGCACCAGCAGAAAGACAGAAATGCAGAGAATCAACAAGAAGACAGAACAAAACCAACAAGAAAGAAAAACTAAGAACGGGTTTGGAACAGGAAGAATTACTTCCTCAAGCCTCTACAAGAAGACTTTACATTCATACACCATGAATCAGTAGAAGAATTTTCAGATTTACATTCCACAAATCTCACTTTCTACTTACAAGAAATTCTACATTTCTTCTCTAACTCGAGTTCACCTTTTTATCTGGATAATGCAACTATTTATAGACATATAGGAGGCTTTATTTCGATTATTAACTACCAACAAACAAGGCTCCGGTTGGTTGAAGATTCCCCCAGAAATCAGTTGCAAACTGGTAAATTGAAGGCTCCAGCTTGCAACAGTTTTTCTGATTTGCTAAGGTTGCCCAATTCTACTTCTTCAAGAATTAATTTTCCTGCAATCTCCACCTAGATTCTTGAGGAGAATTTTCAGACATACTGCAGCTGGACTTCAACTTCATTTCCTTTCAAAATGTAGACGCCTTGTTGCAGGACTCCTTGCATGATCACCACTGAATTTTCCATCACCTTTAACACTCCACCTTGAGCTTTGTACACACAACCAGTTTTGTCCAGTGCTCCCAGTGAGATCAGATTCCTTTTCAGGCATGGTACATGCCTTACTCCACCTAGGACCTTTGATGAACTATCCCACAATTTCAGCTTGACAGAGCCCACACCAGCCACTTCATAGGTGTTAACCATCGGTTTGTATTCAATGAAAAATCCCTTCATTGGTGTCATATGAAATGAGCAACATGTATCCATAATCCAGATATTGTTGTGTCTTGCACTTGTTACAGTAAGAACTTCGCCAATTTCATAGTCTGTAAAGGCATTTGCACACTCTCCTTCTTGCCTTTTGTTTTTTTGTTTCATCCGCCTCTTGTTTCTTTGTGGACAACTCTTCTTGAAGTGCCATTTTTGATGACAAATCCAGCACATTTTCCTTTCCTTTCTTCCTTGCACATACAGTACTTCTCCATTCCTCTTTGCAGGATTACCATTCAACTTCAGATCCAGTTCCTTCGAGTAGGCTGCTGCAGCAACTTCTTTGAGGGTCAAGGATTCCTTGCTATATTTGATGGTATCCCTTAAATGATCAAAGGCTGGTGGCAGAGAATTTAACAAGAAAATGGCCTAATCTTCTTCATCTATCTTGATTTCCAAATTCTCCAGGTCAGAGACCAACTTTGTAAACTCATCAATGTTCTCATCAATTGACTTTGATTCATCCATCTTGAAGATGTAGAACTTGTGCTTCAAGTAGATCCGGTTTGGCAAAGCTTTAATCAAGTAGAGCTCTTCCAATTTGTTCCACATTTCAGAGGTCGTCTTCTCCTTGATTACCTTCCTTAGAACTGTATCAGAGAGGCTAAGAATAATGGTATTTCTTGCCTTCTTCAAGATGTCAGCCTGGTTTGAAGCCTCAGTTCCAGATTGTTCTTTCAAGACTTCTTCCAATCCAAGGTTACCAAGGTGTGCCATCATCTTCTCCCTCCATAAGTTGAAATCATTCTTGTCATTGAATTTCTCCACTTCATAGTTGGATGTTGACATATTGTGATCAAGATTCTAGCCAGGAATCTTTCTTTCACAAGAGATGTGTTCGGCCAATTTAAAAGGACAGAATTCAGGCCAAGGAATTTTCAAGCTATGATACCAATTATTGGGTATTTATTCTTCCCTCAGTGCTCCAGATTAATGCAAAGAATTACATAATTTGAAAGGCGCCAACAAAAAGACAGAAATGCAGAGAATCAGCAAGAAGACAGAACAAAACCAACAAGAAAGAAAAACTAAGAACAGGTTTGGAACAAGAAGAATTACTTCCTCAAGCCTCTTTATTCACACAAGAAGACTTTACATTCATACACCATGAATTAGTAGAAGAATTTTCAGATTTACATTCCACAAATCTCACTTTCTACTTACAAGAAATTCTATATTTCCTCTCTAACTCAAGTTCACCTTTTTCTCTTGATAATGCAACTATTTATAGACATATAGGAGGCTTTATTTCAGTTATTAACTACCAACAAACAAGGCTCCAGTTGATTGAAGATTCCACCAGAAATCAATTGCAAACTGGTAAACTGAAGGCTCCAGCTTGCAACAGTTTTTCTGATTTGATAAGGTTGTCCAATTCTACTTCTTCAAAAATTAATTTCCTTACATATTTTTCTTATTAGTTAAGATGAATTAAAAATATAAGGAAAAATGAATATTTCCTATCAAATCCATGTATATTCCTTGAGGTTGAATAAGTATTCTTTTTGTTCGGTATTTTCTTTAATTTTTGTTTATGTGCAAAAAAAAAGTACTTTGTTATAAATACATTTCTTAAGTTGATTTCTTCTAAACTTCTCCGATACTAATACAGGTGAACAACTATTTTAGGTAAAAACATTTAAGAAATAATGAAGAATAAATTATTCATTTTTAAACATGGAGTAAACCATTTTATTTTTTGGACACTATGTACGTATCGAAATTGATCTCCTAAGCACCAAGTGACACAACGCACTACAATAGGTGGTGTAATAATTTTTGTAACCAATTATTATCTCATATCATCCATTGTAGTTCGTCATGTCATCCGAGTTCTTAGTATAAACTAAGTAATGGTGCTTAAAAGATCGATTCTGATGTACGCATAGCTAATTTTAGATTATAAAAAATTTACTAATGATAAAAGTCGTGTATTAAGAAAACTCTAGGAAAAAGTGCAAGAATAGTGAATTTTTAGAGAATATGTGATTAAAAAGTTGGGAAAAATTTTGGGTTTACATGTAAAATATTTTATTGCGTGAATGTGTAATTGAAGATGAGTATATAAAAAAAGGTTTTGAAAGAATGAGATACAAATAGGGACTAAATACTATAGAGGATGAGACGAATTTTTTTTTTTTCGTATTCTTCACAATGTTAGAGGAAAATGAAGCCACAAAGACAAGCATGTCGCATCTCATAGAGGCATAGACAAAGGAGGTTACCAAAATAATTCTGACAAATAGAGATATGTGCATGTACATTAGAGATAATAAATAAATTTTACACAAATAATGTTACAAATTCTAGCGTGTAGTTCACTAGTCATATGGGCTGTCGTATTAGAGGTCAAATTGTTTTTCTTATTTCTCTATATTTGTCACAACAAAAGAACAAAGATAAACAATATTAATTCGACAATAATTTCATTTTGTTTGTGCATACCGATTTCTGCATAGATAATATGAACAAAGAATAACTACTTTGATGAAATGAGTACCATCAAATTTGCACATTCTTTATATTATATAAATTCATTATTTTCTTTTAAAAAAAATGTTAACTGCGATCTGATTTCTGCAAACTTTCTCTAAATTTGATAATTGTGGAAACGTTAACTTAAATGATGGTGGTTTGGTTTTTTTCCTCTTAACATTGTGATTTCTTTATTACGGGGCTAAGAAAATCCATTGGATTATCGGGCCAAATCTTTTTATTGGATTATAAAGGCAATTTACAGAAATATCCCTAAAAAACAAATCTTTTGAAAAATTATATGAATAATGTGTTGAAAATAAAAAATGCAATATAAAGTTAAGTGAGACTAAAAAGTGAAGTACAATGTCGTTTTCTCTATCATGAAGTCTTAATTCACATTTAATGCAATACAAAATAAGTTAACATCTAAAATATTTTTTTATAAGTACTTTGAAAACTTAGCCAGAGATGTATTGTTCTATTAGAAATTGATTGCGTGTGACATTTTAATTAAAAAGTGACACTCTATGCTAGCTCATTTTTTAATGAAAACTAGTAGGAAGAACGTGCGTTGCACGTTAGTTGGATAATATTAAAAATAAATGTAAATTTGAGAGAGATTCATTTGTAAACATGAAAGATATTCATAACTTGGTTGGAATTTATTGTTCATCTCTTTTCTTTCTATATTTTTTATTCTTGATATGAAGATTTGGTATATGATGTATTTAACTTCTCGTTACAACTATTTATTTATTGAAGTTAGTTATCTATTGTTTAAGCTTATAATATTTTGGATCCAATGTTATTAAATTTAACGCGTAGTAATGTAG